TCAGTCACCAACAACAGTTCTTTTCAGAACTACACTCACCCGGACGATCACACTATACGAACTACTGATACTCCTGGGTTCAAACCATTTACTATGCAGTGTTTTGTTATGTGTTGTTTTTTTTTTCTGTTTTTTTAGCGGATGAAACACTGCGTTTTCATATGGACCATTACTGGCGAGTTTAGCAATAGCTGAGACAATTGCAGACTAGCGACTAGTTCCCCTACCTGAATTAAAATCTTGAAAAGCTTGCCCCTGGAAAAGGGTGGGAGAAGGGAAGTAGATAAATTGGGCTAGGACAGTTGAGCCTTCAATCGGCCGACTGACGGGGTGGGGTATGGGGTCGTTAACTGGGAAAGGTGTGCCAACTTACAAGTAACTTTGTCTCGCCCTTGCCTCAACCCTTTTGCCAGCTCGTGAGCCCCTCGCAGATTTCTGGGATAATTATAACTCGCTTACTAGGCGTCTTTTATTTTGTTCAGAGAACACCCGTTACTTAGTGGTGGATTGTGGAGGCGGCACAGTGGACCTTACGGTACATGAATTGGACTCGCAGACCGGCACCTTACAGGAGCTCCATAGGGGCACAGGGGGAGCCTGTGGGGCTACTGGTGTGGACGAGCAGTTTGAACTGCTTTTGAAGAAAATTTTTGGGAAAGACTTTATTGAACAGTTCAAAAACAAACGACCCGCAGGCTGGGTCGACTTGATGATCGCTTTTGAAGCAAAGAAGCGAACGGCGAGTCCAAACAAGACAAATCCACTGAATATCTCAATGCCTTATTCGTTCATCGATTACTACAAGAAACACAAAAGTTCCAGCATTGAATCTGCGGTGAAGAAGTTTGGAAATCCAAACGTGAAATGGTCCTCGCAAGGAATGTTAAGAATTGCGCCTGAAACCATGAAAGAACTGTTTGCACCCGTGCTAAGTAAAATTGTAGAACATATTGAAGACCTCGTCAGTAAAGATAGTGTTAAAGGACTTGACTTTCTCTTTCTCGTGGGAGGATTTGCTGAGTCGCCATTGCTTCAAGTGGCCGTCCGTGAAGCATTTGACTCAAAAATGAAAGTCATTATTCCCCAAGAGGTCGGTCTGACAATTCTCCGAGGCGCAGTGTTGTTCGGAATAGATCCCACGATTGTGCGCGTTCGACGGGCGGCAATGACTTACGGGGTCGGAGTCCTCAATCGATTTATCGTCGGCAAGCACCCGAGAAACAAACTCGTTAAGAAATCGGGAGTCGAATGGTGTACAGATGTGTTCGACAAATTTGTGACATCTGATCAGCCAATGAAACTCGGAGAGAGTGTTACGAGAAGCTATGCGCCCGCAAAACCGGGACAAACTTCTACAACTATTACCATATATTCCACCGAGGAAGAAAACGTTAATTTTGTCACGGACCAAGGCGTGAAAAAGTGCGGTCAGTTGCTTCTGGAGATGCCCCAAATGGAAGACAGTGATTCTAAGAAACCTAGAGAACTTAAAACGTGTATGATGTTTGGTGATACTGAAATCAAAGTTACAGCGGTGGACATTTTGTCCGGTAAAGAAGCAAAAGCAACCATCAATTTCTTGTCCCTGTGAAAAAACGAACACAGTATTATGTCGCTTAAATTGCATCTGTATCCTTGAATTATTTCCACTTGCAGCTTTCACGCCCCTAGTAAAAGGACACTTGACAGTAATGGAATGTTTCCGATTGAACTTCGCCAACAAGTCGTTTATAAAAGGTAATTTTCATACGGAGAGACCCGATTTTCAGGAAGAGATTGTCTCCATTTGATAACAATCGATTTTCAATAAAGATGAAATTACCCTTGGTTCTTTTGTACTTATTTCCGAGTTGAAAACTTAAGTAGCAGGCTAACTAAGTGAAACATCGGAAGACTAAGTAACACAACACCTGTTTTTAGCACGGGCTATTTCACTGCAACATTTCCCCTAAGTCTGCGACTATCGAGTTTGTTGTCCAAATATAAATGGTGTAATACGCCGGACACGTGACAATTTGGACTGAGGGGAAGGAGCTGTTTTAAATTTAGTGGATCGAGTCCTGGATGCTTTGCGGCCGTTTTGCTTTAGGTCAAAAAAAAAAACAAATGCTTGACATATGCTCTCATTGATGTCTTCAAGTAGTAAACGTGGATATTCAAGCCAGCTCTCAGAACATTGTCTACGTGAAATAAGAATGTAGTCTTTCGTCATATCCAAAATACATCCTGGCGCAAAATACATGCATGTTCTTCATGCTTGATAACAGCCCTGTAATCCTAACACCATTTATGAAACATACTGTTAAACGACTAACGCGCTTTCTTCCACTTCATCTCTGTATACTTGGCATTAGCTTGGCTCTATAGGAGCAAACTGTAGAGTGAATCAAAATAGATTTTTCCTTACTTCTGCAAGCATATATTCAAAGAGTTTCTTACATAGACAAATACGGCAGAGCAAAGATACTAATACTGAGAAATACGTAGATCCTTGTGAAGGTGAATTAATCAACATGACACGAGCGTGGGACAAAGAAAAATTCTGAGTCCCTGACAGGAATCGAACCCATGACCTCCCGAACACCGGG